CCTTCCTCTAACATACAACTAAATTGATTTGAATTGGCAGTAACAAAAATTTAAATCTCTGGTCCCTTTAAACACAAAAATTTACGAATATTTGCCAATATTAAAGTAGTAAAGAAATAAGGGATGATTGGACTTACATGGGCTATCCTGTTCCATTAGCACAATGGTTCACTAATAGACCATCAAAATGATTGATCTCCCTTCCGTATGCTTCACCTGTTTTAATCCTACATTGATACCTTGAGGAGCATTTTTTATGGAATCAAAATTCATTTCGTCTTATATGGAATGTCATGTATATCCCTTTTTGCTTTTTCCAACACTTGTTATGGAGCTATTGATGGTTTATATGACTTGAATTAGTTTAAACTGAAGCTATTCTATTTATGATCCTCTTTCCTAAAGAAATATTGTGTGTCTTTCACATTTCCCAAAATCCATCCTGAATATTTGTTCCTTTGTTAACTTCTGGGATTCTTGAGTGGAACCTTCAATCAGTTTCTGTGGTTTTCTTTGTGTTTGCTCAACAGATTTTCTAGGATCGCCACTTACTGGAGCTTCTTAATTGAAGCAACCGTTTGTCATTTAATATTAATGAGCTCTTTTTCTCTTTTTGTATTTTCAGTTTGCAACCTTTGCATCGTTGGGTTCAGGTGTTTTGGAGTTCCATTTCTACTTTGTACATTCTTTAAACTTCTTCATCTCTGAACGATTATTAACTGAATGATTTCAAGCAGTAACTTGTTTTCTAACTTTTTATCTTTTTCGATTGGTCGCTGTTAGTTTGTCAGAGATCAGCTGTGGTTATCTGGGCTCAGTCTTGAGTCCAACCCTTCCATCTGAGGAGCTGACCTGTACCAATCTGCGGATTCAGGGTGAAGCTGCTGTGTGGTTTCTAGGTCCCACACTTACGACTGGAGACTCTGAGTCAGACACCTTTTTCCTTCTGTTTCGCTGAGATGATTGTGATGTGAAAGTTGTGCTGACAGTAAATGCAAGCATAAGTTGATGATTATCTGATCACATTGTTCTTAATTAACAGTCTGTTTTCTTCTCAGTGGGTTTGTCCATTGACTGTGGCAGACAATGTTGAGCTCCACCATTAAACCTTCCATATAACAAGAAAGAACTACACTGAATAATTCACTCTTTATTTCCATTAATATTCCCATTCATGTGTTTAAAAGAAATTGATTTGACAATAATACAATGGAATAATCAATAATCTCTATTTCAACTATCAGACAATAACAAATAGATTCACTTTTTACTTTTTCCAACATTTCTTTGTTGTTTGTTCACATTTCCCCAAAATTCACCCTTTTTAAATATTTTTGCAATCAGAAATATTTTAGGATTATTATATCCAAAGATTTCCAAAGATTTCACCCATGACTCTCAGAACCCCCTCCCAAAATGACCGTATTTTCATACATGACCAAAATATATGAGAGTGGTTGGCATTCAGTTGCCCACATTGTCTCCAACAGTATTGTTGTTGACCTAATTGTTTATTTTTAATTTTTGGTGTAATAAAAAAACATGTTGTTGGGTCTTGAATATGGACTGCCAATCACTCCCAGAGAACTCAATGTTAAGTTCTTTTTCCCATTTCACTTTAATATACACTGTATTTCTTCCCTGTTGCTTCGATAAACCTTTGTATAGTTTAGAGACAATTCTTGAAGGAGTTTGCTTATACGCACCTGTCAGCACCTCAATCACATCATTCCCTTCCAATGAGATTTCCTTCTTAATTTCTGTCTCGTAAAAGTGTCTTAGTTGGAGATATCTGTATAAATCTCCATTTTCCAATCCAAACTCATTTTTAAGCTGTCTAAATGATTTAAAATGATGCTCATATAACACTATATTTTTTAAAGCTGTCTGACAGTTTTTATGGCCTAAAGTGGAGTTGAAACATAATAAGCCTTTGGGAACTCTATGATCATTCATTTGCTTCAGCTGTGATGCATATATAAACCCCACCCATGAAGGTATTCAAGGTGAGTTGCAATCATGGGAAAGACAAAAGAGCTTCCACAAAAGCTGAGAGAGGAGATTATTTCATCCCACCTGAAGGGCCTTGGGTATAAGATGATTTCCAAAAAATGTATATTCCAAGAGACACCACTGGGAGCATTATAAGGAAGTTTAAAACTTATGGAGCAGCTGCAAACCTGCCTGGCTGTGGAAGAAAGCCCAACATTTTATCAAGGGCCCTTAGATACTTAGTCATAACAGCTAAGAAAAACCCCTGTGTGTGTGTGTGACTGCAAGACACCTACAGGATGTTCCTTACCGAAGGATGCTCCACGAAGTACTGAAGCTGAAGGTTGAATAATACTGATGGATGGATACTTCATTTATCCCAAGGGAAATTCAAGTATCCAGTAGCATACAAAATACAAAACATACTTAACTGTTCAGGCCTGCTGTTGCCAAGCATCAGGGCCAGGCCATTAGTGCGTTTCCCGCCAAAACTGCCCTGGTCCTGGTTGCTTGGCAACCAAAGCCTGCACCTCACAATCTTGACTGTGAACAGGCATTACTCTTCCATGTCGTTTTTCGGTCGACTACTCCTCCCTAAGTTTTGGTCGCACATACACAAAAAAGGTATTAAAACTGTTGGCTCGGCCGGGACATTAGTGCTAGTGCTATGACTTTTCTAAGCATTTTGCCAAAAAGATTATAAATCACCAGTCAGGCACACTCAAAATTTCTTTAGGAATTTTCTAGTTATTATTATTATCATTATTATCATTATTATTAGTATAGTTGTTGTTGTTGTTATTATTATCATAAAATTATTATTATTATTGTGTTACTTTAGGTTAGAGGGTAGGCCCATTCAGGCCCTGCCCCCACCTGATCCCCACCACAGGGCCAATCAGGGAGCCACTGCCCACAACCCCCCCAGCCAAACCTGTCCAGCCTCACTCCCCATCATTATCAATGGCCTATATATCTCTCTCCATATATATACACATACACACAAAGAAAAATAATAATAAATAATAATAATAGGGTTATTACTTCTACTACTACTAACTAATATGTTGTATGTATAATACAGTAAAAATAACTTTATTAATAAGAGGGGAGAAAAAGAAAAACATTGTATAAGTAACAAATATACTTAACTGTAGCAATCATTGTATTAAAGTTAATAATAATAGAGTGACAGTAATTATTATAGTATTAACTGGTAAGATCAATAATAACAACAACCATAATAGAGAGAAAACAGGGAGTTGTTAGGTAATAACTGTAATATCATGATAATTATGGTTTCATAATAACAAACTCGTATTGAA